AACGCAAAAATGCAAATAAACAACGAGACTTTTCGTGGAAATTTCTGAAAAGAAAAGTTTTTAATGATGGTATTGTAAGCTATGAGACAATTTTACCTATCATTAAAGAAACATTCTTGCCAAACCTTGTGGCATGATACTCACAGTAATTTTTGTTCTTTGAATCATCATTCCCACAGGCAGCGTAATGACTGTCTATTGTTCAGATTTAAAAAAAAATTAATCAAACCAAAGTTTTTCCAAGCGAAGTCATTAAAAGAAATGAATAACAAACTAAAAAATCTTATTCAAAAACAACTCTCGAGAGAGGTTAGAGATTAGAAAAAAATCTATGTCAGCACAAAAAGACGGTTTGATCAGTTTGTTTATATCTTTGTTCCCCACTTACATTGGCTCGCGGTGGATTAAATTATCAAAAGCAAAGTTTACATTCTATATATCGGGGTAAGATTCAAATGCTGATATATAATCGTCGAAAAGAAATTGGGATTCTACGAAAAACTTGATCAAAATCCTGTAATTATCCAAATCCAATCGTTTTAAACATCTACTGTATTTTTGTTATGGCAACAATTTACAATCCTAATCAATTTTTTGTCCTTTTTTGTTTTAGAAATAAAAAGGAATAAAATTAGATTGAAAACATTTGGTCGTTTTTTATCCAAAGAAAAGTCAAACAGCTTCGAAGATTAAGATTTGTTTTGGTGGCCTTAACCAAGTTTCTTCTAGCGTTTGAGCTGTGACACTCTTTTGTTGTTGCTTTGAATAGGAGAGAAGGCAAGTATTCTGAGCTATAAAACCTAATGCACAAAAGTTGCTTCAGTCTTAAAAAAAACTTGCCTGCTCATCTAGTAATTGTTTAGAAACTTTTACTTATTGGTGGACTTCAATTTGAAACACAATATTTAATAACCTGCAATAATGCGATTGCGAGAAAAACAATTGTAGTTTTTGATCAGGTAGAAAAGTAAGAAAACAACTCTAAATCAAAATGTGAAACGCTTTGTTCAAATTTTGTCAAAACATGCGTTTAAGCTATAATTTACAAAAATATCTTAAAATGCCAATTACTTAGAAAAAGGCATTCTGAAAGTCATTTTAAATTGCCAGTGATGATTGAATGAGGTAAGGGAAAAAACTTAAGCTTTGAAATTGGAAACTTGTCGTTTGTTGTTACCAAACGCTTAAATCTTATAGTTATAGAGCAGAGGAGGAGCGTGGTCTACACAAAACAAAAAATAGTTCTCTACTTTTCCAAATTTAAAAAATTGAAACAATTTTTTTTGTTCTATTTTTTATACAGTTTTCATTTCTTACGGCACTAAATTTTCATGTATTTTTTTGGTTTTTTGAATTGGTTCCTGCGAATAAATGCTAATTTGATTTTTTACTGTCTAGGTTTTCCAAAATCTAAGTTCCTACTTATAAAAACCTATTATATTCTAATATAAACCGTTATAATCCATTGTAATCTATTATAATCCCTTTGAATGAATCGAATTGCTTTCTACTAGTTTTGACTAATAATTATAATCATATGCTTTACAACCAATTGGGTTTCATAAAGACAAACCATGAAAGTCCCTTAAATTGATTTTTTTCCCATGGAAATTCTGTGCCAGAAAGTTTTTTATGGAGGAAACGTTTGAAGTAGTACAGTATGACTTTTTGAAGAGCCTCTTAGATTTTTTATTCCAATGGGAAACCAAACAAAATAGTTTTCACATGAATGTTATAATCAAGTGAAAAATTCCTCTAATAATTCTATATTTATAAGCTTTATGAAAAAATAGAATTCAAATTACAAAATCAAAAAAAGAACAATCAATATTTTTTTGGCAAGATTAACTAAAGTTTTGTGTTTTAAAAAAATGACACCAAGTAAAGCTGCACCTCGCGAATGAAATTTTATAGCAGAGCCACCAAAAATTTGAAAATTATCAATGAACTCGAGGAAACCGAAATAAAAAACAAATATTCTAAGACTTTTCAACATAAGAATAAAAAAACACATCATGTCAATAAAAGCTAAACATATATTTAGAGGAACGCAAAAATTCAAATGAAAAAACAAGACATTTCGTTGAAATTTCCGAATGGAAAAGTTTTTATAGTATTGTAAAATATGAAATAATTTTACCAATCATTAAAGAAACATTTTTGTCTCAACTTGTGACATAAGAACTCACAGTAACTTTTGTTCATTGCATCATCATTTCCACAGGAAGCGTAATGACAGCGTATTGTTCGGATTGGAATTTCTTTTTTTAACTAAATTTTTTCCATGCGAAGTCATTATAAGAACGGAATTACGAATTAAGAAATCTTATACAAAACGTCTCTCGAGAGAGTATAGAGATTAGAAAAAAAATCTATGTCAGCACAAAGAGACGGCTTGATCAGTACGTTTATCTCACTGTTACCCCACTTAACAATCGCTTGCTGGGAATAAATTGTCAAAAGCAAAACATACAGTCTATAGATTGGATAAGATTCTTGATTCAAATGCTGATATATCATCGTCGATGCCGAATTGGGATTCTTCATAAAATTTGATCAAAAATCTCTATTTATCCAAATCCAATTGGTTTAAACGTCCACTGTTTTTTCTTTGATGGCAAAAATTTACAGTCATAATCATTTTTTGTTTTTTTTTTGGGTTAGAAATAAAAAAAATTATGAGGAAAAAATTTAGAATGAAAACATTTGGTCGTTTTTTATCCAAAGAAAAGTCAAATAGCTTCCGATATCAAGATTTTTTTTGATGGCATAAGCCAAGTTTCTTCTAGCGTCTGTGCTGCGACACATTTTTTGTTGTTGCTTCGAATAGGAGAGAGGGCGAGAGTTTCTGAGCAATAAGTCTTATCACACAAAAGTTTAACACACCTAAAAAAACTTGCCGACTTATCTGATAACTGTTTAGAAATTGCTAACTATCGGTGGACTTCAATTTGAAATGCAATATTCAGTATTTAATAACATGCAAAATTTCTATTGCAAGCAAAACGTTTGTAGTTTTTGATCTGGTAGAAAAGTAAAAAAAGGCTCTAAATCAAAATGTGAAACGCTTCTTTCAAGTCTTGGCAAAACATGCGTTTAATTTATTTTTGACAAAAGTATCTTAAAATGTCAATTACATAGAAAAAGACATAATGAAAGTCATTTTAAATTGCCAGTGATGATTGAATGAGGAAAGGGGAAAAACTTTAGCTATGGAACAGGTACCTTGTCGTTTGTTGTCACCAAACGCTGAAATCTAATAGTTACAGAGCAGACGAGGAGCGTGGTTTACACAAAAAATAGGCAAAGTTCTCTACTTTTCCAAATTAAAAAAATTGAAACCATTTTTTTTTGTTCTATTTATTTTTACAGTTTTCATTTCTTACGGCACTAAATTTTCATGTATTTTTTTCGGTTTTCTGAATTGGTTCCTGCGAATATTGCTAATTTGATTTTTTTACTGTCTAGGTTTTCCAAAATCTAAGTTCCTACTTATAAAAACCTATTTCCAAGTCTAAATGTTTGAAACAGATGTTTTTGTCTTGTTTTTTTTACGGTTTATGTTTCCTACGGCATTGAAGTTTCATGTCTTTAATCGTTTTTTTTGTGAAATCAGTTTGTGTAAATAGATGCTATTTCTACTTCATAACGAAAACGATTGAACTCAGAAAACAGTTTTTTTTTGCATTAGAAAAAAACTTTCAAAGCTAAACAGGTCGGAATTGCTGAGGTTCGATTCAGAGATATTGATCAGACAATTTGTACAATTATTGAACCGACAGAGAGAAAAAGAAAGAGAGGAGAGCGAGAGCGAGAGCGAGAGAGAGAGAGAGAGAGAGAGAGAGAGAGAGAGAGAGAGAGAGAGAGAGAGAGATCAGAGAGAGATGAATGAAAACGGTAGGGAGAGAGAGAGAGGAGAGAGAGAAAATTGAACAGCAAGCTAATAAAATCAAAAGATGAAAGAAAAAATAAATACATCTACAAAAGTCAGAACCCAAGCTTTTTTTAATCAGTCGACAAAACTTGTACTTGATAAGAAAATGGAAAATTTTGAAAAAGTTCACTTTCAAAACCAAATTATAAATAAGACAAAAATTATAAAATCAAGTTCTAGCTGCAAATTCAACCAAAAAAATATTGCTTTTCAAAGCATGAGCTTGCTCTACAAATTCATACAGAGATTTACTTGACATATTAGATTTACTTCTGTCAAATAATGCATGAACACATCTCTGTAGTTTTTTGATTGCCTATCGACCTTCAGAGGCAGCAATATGCATCCAATCATTAGAGGAAGAAATCCTGTAACATCACCAAAAAGGAAAGATCAGCAGTATGTCCATCTCATCTCTTATTGTAGGTAAGTAATCCCATTTTCCCCGACAACTGTTTTCCATAATATTATCACCCAGAGACTGCTCTTTTAATTGCCTCCATTTTATTCACACATTTATATCGTCGCCGAGTCCCATAGCGGTTCTCGAAACTTATGCTTAGAAAACAATGCTGCTATTGGAGAACGACTACTTTTTTTTCTACAAGGACGTAAGGCATAAAAATATTGTAAACGTTTGCTAATGGGTATTGCGATTTGATGAAAATCATTTTTTGGTCTAAATGCAGGCTTCGAAAACAACTCTTTTGATTTTAGGCCAATGTTTTACGAGCCGCCTCGTTTTCATTCTCCGTGGACCTTCAAATTTTCTTTTTTTTTCTCTTTTAAACTTTCCCCATTTATTGTGTTTGACAATTTTTCTTCCAACAGCTTTGCTTGAAAAGTTTGGAAAAAAAACATTTTTGAGATTGGTGAGTTGATTTGAGTAGAAAAAAATTAAAAGGTGATAACTAGAATTTGCAGAGGTTCTATGAAAGACTATCAGCCCACCTAATCATAGTTCCGTCCTGCGAATCATGAAATAACCTAAGCAATATTTGCAAAAAATGTGTAAATAGATAACCAATTAATGTTCCCAATAGCTTTTATGCTTATTTTCAAACAGATGAATCACGACATCTGGCTGCGAGAAATGTCCAACAGCCGGGTTGTTGTGGGTGCAAACCGGACCAGCGAAACCTAATCGTATCTTCAATGCTGGGCTTTGCCACTCTCACTAGCATAGTCGTGGCCATTTATCTTCTCATGAATCATCGCAATGGTAAGATTTAATTCACTCAGTGGCGATTAGTTAAGCATTTCATATCTTCAAACCTACATGGTAGTTTCAGCTATTGCTACATATAATTTGGTCTTGACTATAATTTTAAAAACAAACTTTTTAGAAGTTGTTTTGAATTAGGTTTTTTGAATTAAAAAATCTATTGAAATATTTTAAACGTTTGTACTCATTTGAACATCAAAGACGTTTGAAAATAAGCCATGTGGTCTATTGACGTTCTATCAGAACTGTATTTCTGATTAGAAGCCTAAAAACAAACAATTTTGCTTAAATTTTAGAAACTTTCTATAAAAAAAATCTCTAAAAAAATTGGAAAGTAGCTTTGTATTTTTCCTGGTTTTTGTATTCCTCATTTTTTTTGTGAATATGAATTTAGTATAAGTTTTGTTATTATGAACCATTTTTTCTCAAAAGAATTGAAACTTGAATCAAATAATTTCTCATAAATCAGAAAGAATTGAAATGCTCGTATTTTGGAAAGTTTCTTTGCAAACAAACGTGTCTAATCAAATTATATGAAAAATATGTTTTTTTTTCAGAACACGCACCTTCTGCAGGGGATTATTCGAGGTCTGAATATGCGCGAGAAGACGCCGATAATTATGGCGCCAATGAATATGCATACGATCACGCAGGTGGCAACGTCTGTCATATGCATTAGATTGATGTCCTGTCATAAGATCGACAACAATTTTCTCATTCTTATCTATCCGTGCAAACTGGAGACCTAAGTTTGGCTTTTTTCCACCCCCCCCCCCACCTTTCAAATTTTTTGTTTTTATAAATATTTTACGTGTTTTTATGGCCAAATGAAATGCGTGATATTACGATGTAAAGCATGAAGCGCAAATCTGTTCCTAATAGTAAGTATATTCACCATGCCAAGTTTCATTGCATTATGACCACGTTTTACGGGGGGACAGGATAGTGGAAAAGAGCTTTACATTTTGACATTATTTGTGGTCGAGTCTATCATTACCTTATTTTACCATATTTTATCGTAAGAAAACAGACAGAAATTGGTTCATTTGAAACTTTGACAGCATTTTCCAGCTTGTTCATGAGCATAAACAATCACTTTTTTTACCCCTGTTAATACCATACTGTTAATAGTAAGCATACTTGAATTTCCCTGAAAAAAATTTAATTGCCTATGTATAAAATCCTAAATGAACGTAAGTTTTATTTCCTAAACGAATAGGTTTTTTTTTCATGTGCTTGCATGTTCACAATTAAAAGTAACAGGTAATCGGGTTGGGGGTTCGGATGGCCCTGGTTGCCACCAGGTTCCTCACATTTCTCCCATGAATGGGTGGAATCAGCTGAAAAAAAACCCTCAAAATCACAGTTAAAAGTTGACAAAGAGAGATCATCGCACATTTACAAACTTCATAGTTTGCCCATTTCGGAAATATTATTTTTGCTTTTGAAAAATTCCGATAAAAAATTGGCTCTGTTTGGGTAAAAGTTTATTTTCTGTTTACTAACTTGAAAAATTATCCATGGACTACAGAAGGATTATCTTTAGCTCTAGAGGCGAATTTTGAAGCTTCCCAGGTTAACCTTTTATAAAATAAAAACACTACACATTCCAATTTTATGTATTCTATGAGGTACAACTTTTAGGCTAATTTGAAATCCTTCGTGTAAAATTGGCGATTCTACTGTCTTACATGCTCTAGTAACCTGAGCGTAAGACTGATTCGTCATTAGGTTGAGTAGTACAGCAAACAAAGGGTAAAGTTCGAAATAGTTCAATCTTCGAAGATATCGTCCCTCCTAAGCCAGAAAACAAAATTTGACAAAATCGGCGAACCCCCCCCCCCCAAAAAAAAACCGGAACTAGAAAGCTAATGTTATGGAAATCAGAGGAGCGATACTAGAGATGATTTGACTCGGGCATGCAAAAATCGGGACCCGTTAGACCCTTGGGGGGTCCGATATGGCCTAAGTGATAACGGTCCCCGAAAGTGTAAATGGCCCTATCAGAACTCGGAAATTAGCGGCGGTATTGGGCTCAAACTCTAGTATGTTGAAGGACTAGTTAAGGGAAGCTTAAGTTTTGAACCCCAGACCCCTAAGACGCCCACTCCCGGTTTTATGGCCTAAGTGAACAAACCTACCCCTAACTTCCTGAAGTAGTTTCTCGGCCACCGATGAGCGCAGGGAGCTGAAACTTGGAGGAATGATAGGTAGTGGCAAGATACATCTTATATTATAATTTGAATCAAAACCGGCGGTTGGACCAGAAGCTATTAGCACTTGGAAAAACACCATTTTAGACCGGAGATAAGCAGTTTACGCGAAATGATGTACAGTGGCATAAAGATTTTATTGCGGCAATGGACATAAAATACGGACCCCGAAAAAAACCCCTAGTGAGCAAAAACCCCTAGCTCCGGCGGCTCCTTCCGGTGTTAATAGCTTTTTTCTGGAAAAAGTGATCATGGACCTTAGAAATGGTATAACTTGTGAAGTATTAATGGGATATGAACGAAACTTGGTAGTTAGGACCCCGATGGGATTCTGAGCCCAAATCTGGAAGTTTGACCCCGATTGACCCCTGGGTGACCTTATGTTGACCCCAAAAATTGCACGAGAAGACCCAAGATTAACACCGGAAAGTGGCGTATTCCCCAGCCCAAATCCTGGAACTGAGAATGGGAAACCTTGCAAAAATTGGGGAAAACTTATATTGGGAACTAGAGCAGAAGCTGATAGAGATACAGCTTTTACATTGCAACCGTGGAGTAGAGGATTTAATTCAAAGTGGACTAGGTGAATAATGGGGTCAGTTTAGGTTGGCGAGTGATCTATTAATACCAATTCAACAAGACTAAAGAAAAGTAGTCCCAGAGCAATCTGATATTATTAGGACCGTAGCATGAGAATTAGTCTCCTAAATAGTATGAACAGGTGGGAATTTTGCTTGGCTTCCCGGTGGTGACTTTCTGGTTTGATTTGACCCCTAATAGTCGAACTGCGTTCCTATGATAGCTAGAAAGTCGGGATTGGAATAGAGTACAGATAGAAAATTTAGATGCTTGAAATTAGTTAGCTACCCATGAAAAGTGTCTCCCCCTACCCTTGGGAGGTCGGACCGTTAACGGCATAACTAAAATAAAGACCTTGGGAGGATTACTGAGTAAACATAGCATGGTTTGGAGGTTGAGTTCAACTCGAGAGCTGAAGTTCACAGAGTTCAGGAGTTGGTTGATTAGAATCGTATGACATTTGTTTGCTAGGTCAAGTTGTGACACCTACCGCATGCCGGGTATCTAATAAGCGTGAAAAAATTGATAAAAGAAACAGAAGTTGGCACGTGGCAGAGTTGACAATGGGAGGGATATAGTCTTAAACATGTGCGGACACGTGACTTAAGCGGATACCAGGACTAAGTGTAGAGAAAGATAAGGAATTGGAGCGTCCCGGAGAGCTTTTAAGAGTCAGAACAGTTGTTGACTACTATTAGGATTACTCGGTTTTCAACCAGAGAAGAGAACAATTATTGCTAGCTAGCGAGTTGCGCTGGAACCCGAGTTTAGTACCGGGTTGAAATAGTTGTGCGAGCGAGTTGCGCTGGATCCCGAGTTTAGTACCGGCCTGAACTAGTTGTGTCGCTGCTCTGCTAGAATAGGCGAGTTTTGAATCGAGTCAACCGAAAACTGATGAGCGATTCAACGGAACAGGACGCAAGCTTCAATATAGAATTTGCTAAATAGTAGTTAGCTCATTAAGGGCACTGTAAATTGTTTTACTGCCTTTGCGATCGATAATTTACTCATTGTGCCCACGATTTGCTGAAACATCAAGAAGCATTAAAGGAGAGCCGAAAATAGCAGAAATTAGGAGGCAAGTTGCGTAATCCTTTGATCGGCCGATTTAGTCTAACCACCAACATAACCCTTTCGGGGTTGTGGATCATATCGTACCTTGGTGTCCCCCGCCATTACACGGTATAAAGGGGAGAAACTCTGCGGCCGTTAAGTAGAGTGAAAGCGTGCTTAGAGGAGACGACTCCATGGAAAAGAATCTACATTGGCGCTCCTGGGTGGGCTTTCTTTATCAAGCGAATAATGATCTTTGGATTCAACAACGACGAGTGTTTGACAAAGAATAGACTAAACCACGACCAAGAAAATGGAGTGGGCAACCTAGCAGCAAATGAAGTTTTTTTCAAAGAGATATTTGACAATGTGTTTCTGCTGGAAACCAAACCAGTGAGTGTGGGTTGTTCGTATTGGATCAACTACGCTGAGTTTAGAATGATGCATCCGAGCAAAAAACTGAAGAGCTACTGCGGTCCAAGGCATGACGGCGCTGTAATTCATGGCTGGACGTTCATGAAGTTGGAGATAGGATCAATAACCGAGAAAATAGCAGTTATTGATTTCGAGAACTTGTTTGTACCTATGTTGATCAGTCTCGGCACACTAAAGAGAAAATCAGAAGTCAGGGTCGGTAATCAGAAATCAGCGACGCTGTATTCATGCAGGCGGTAGTTCGGTGCCATTGCTGGAAGAGATAGGTCATCACTAGGACGAAAGCAGGATGTGGAAGAGTATAGCCCACTCCGATGGTCCGAGAGTCTCGGCACGAGAATTGGGTGCACCCCCGACTCGAATGGGCTGACATGAGACGAGCTTTCGTTTGTGGCAGAGTCTGCGGCGAGGTAGCGGCTATCGAGATTGACAATACGACAAGCTGCAATCTGATATCTGAAGGACTGCTCGAGCTCTTCGGGTTCGCTGCCGCTGTCCGGAGGTTCACTCGAAAGTTGGAAGCAACCTTCAACGAGAATAATAGAAAAATTGAGACCCTTGGATACATCCGGGCGAAGATTGAATTTGGAAAATTCCAGCAATGGCGTACTTGACTCCGATGTGGTCCTCAGTGCTCGGGAGCTCAAAGGGTGTCATGGTTTGTTTATGATCGACAAATAGTCAGCCATCTGCCACGAGACTGATGCTATGCAGCGAGTCTCAGTGAAATTTGAGAAACTACCAGAAACAGTGACAATCGTGCTGAACGAGGAAGCAGTTGGGACTAAGAAGAAGATGACGATGCAAGATTCGGAAGAATCGAAGAAGCCGAATACAAGTATGGTTTGCGAACAAACCACGATAACAGAACCCGATTTAACGACTATAACGTATTCGTGACGAAATGATAACGACGATTCATCGGGTAGTACAAAACTATTGGAAGCGGCTGAGGGGAAAAACGAGGTTAACCCGAAACAGCACCTGGTTGATGGGTTTGTGACAACCTGCTAGTTCGGATAGAGCTGGAGGAGACTCCTGAAGTCCACATGATGAATGTATGGGCTTTCATGATCCTAGAATCTTCCCCTCAGCTTGAGCCGTTCAACGGGAAATTTCACGAGTGGTGGTTGATCAGGTTAGTGACGTTGTTGTTTTGGGCCAGGCAGAAGTGTATGCGCAGATTGGGACATTCGCAGAGCGACTGGATGCGACAGAGCGTTGTGGTGGCGGCTACTGAGATAGAAACCCAGAGATCCCAAGAGCAGCGAGCAAAGTTAAAGACGAAAACCAGCCAGCCCAGCCTGCCCACGAAGGGTTTGGTGTATTGGCCGAGCCTGTTGGCAAAGAGGGCGTCAAGTCAGGACCACGTAGCGGTGAAGCAGAACTTACTGCCCGCGCTGAGACCCAAAGTTTCGATTCTATACCTAGCCAGGGTAACGTTGAGGTCGCAACTGAAGTCGAATCAAACGCAGGGTCGAGAACG